GTTCAAGTTAGCTTTGACGGTCAATTCAATGATCAAACGTATAAGAAATGCGGTACAAAGGTTCCGGAACAGCCACCGTTGTCGACATCAAACGAGATCAAGGTGAAGTTCACATCTTCATCAGCCAATGCAGCCACGAACACATTCACGGCCACGATTACAGGTGATTTGCTCTGTTTTGTTCTCATCTATAATCAAATCATCATATTCTGTTATATTGTTTGATATTCCGTCTGCTTTGTATCAGCCCACAGATTTTCCGGGACATTATTAATCTTCGAATAACGTGATCGCTGAAATGCCTACGCTGCTTGTTTGTTTAGGGTGTTCGTGCAATTAGGTGCAATTGGAATTGTTATGAACATAACGATAGCACTTTAATCCTTCAACCGCTCCTTCTCGACAAGCTTTAGCACATTCATGTTGAGTTAATATTTCCTCTTGTATCGTTGATATTTCCCAGTCAATAAGCGCCATCTGACGAATACCCTGGAATGGAAGAATTTAGCAAAATCGCATTTCTGAATAGACTCAGCCCACATGAGGATGCAATGTAATCGGGTTATTTGTAAAAGAAGAATAGGTCATTCGAAATGACTTAGGTGATGCTCACTTGATACGTTGGTGTAGCGTTCACCAATGTTGTACAAATGTGCATTCTATGCAGGCCTGGGGAAACGTTCTTCCATTGTAGCGTAACGGCATGAGTTGGCATATATCATGTATACACTTTTGTTGAGTGACCTCGGACAGTTCATGGATAGGATACAAGGATTCTGGTGAAAACTGATAACCGTTACCTATGATTTTCATACTTGACTCTATGTTCACTATACTCACAAATCCTAAGGCAAAATTCATTTGATTTTTTCCCGGTTCGATTTAGGTTCAAAGGAAACGCAACGTGTGTGCACTGCTCTTCTCATCTCATTAGCACTCATTTCCAATTTGTGTGAGTTTTTCACTGATCATACACATGTTTCACGTGGTTCTTTATTCCACAATATTTTCGACTCCGGCTTGATTGATTCGTTCCCGCCGCATTCTCCAAACTCTGCATGGGACCAGCTGTTCACAATAATCCGTGTTCTGATTAGCCATTCAATTAGTCATTCAGTATTATCTGTTCCATCCACCATTCGTTCGTGTAATCTGTGTGTGCTGTACTGTGAATTTCGAGGTTTGTTGAATTTCCTACTTCATCTATTTTGTTATCCTAATGCATACCTGGCGTTTTTCTTTTATACAGATAACACCAATCTGTGAGCGACTGTCCAGCGTGTCACTGCATGTGTCAGCTCCTTGCAAATCACACGAAAAGTTCACCGTATTCTTATTGAAATCCACACGAAAAATATCTTCATAACGAAGCACATTCTAAATTGTCTAAGATCATAAATCAACACGCGTTCTCATCCTAGCCGTTGTTTTTCTTATGCATTCAGATGATGGGTTCGTTTCGAGCCGTATGTCACCCGACCCGTATCTATCCTCGATGACAACATACATTCTCGAAATACTGCACACGATCAACTAGACTCTTGGTCATGAGAACACACTAGGAATAGTGCAAGCCACTTGGAGTGTGCATATGATGTTGTTGTATCTCAATCAGTTGGCCTTTGGGACAATCTTACTGACCATGCTGACAAAACTCCTAAAGGGTTAATGGGAACACGACAAAAGTGAGCAAACCCGTGTGTTTTCGAACCACCAAGGGAACTGTATGCATGCTCATGGTATCAATTCATCTATCTAGTTCGTGTAACAGCACGCGATTGCGCACGAAGACTCTATCTAACTGAATGCCTGTTTGGTCGGGTAAAGTAACACGATTTATCATATCTAACGTTTTTAATAAATAAACGTCGAAACGAAATGTCAGAAATATCGATGGGCCATGTGATATGATTTCGTTTGCCGTGGGTAACCTTGAACAAGACAATTTTATATCACAATTTTAAATAATAATAAATAAATAATACAATTATAAAATCGCTTTGATAAAGTTTACTCACAGTAACCGAAACATCCGCTTATTTTCACCTGTACCGACATCGCTGTGTTTTGAAAATTACAACTTCGATATGTCAAAACGACCTAAATTACCAGCTGTTGTCATCCAAGACGGAATGAAGTGTACCGTACATTATGAAGAGAGAGCGAAACCACAAACCTTAGCCTGTGTGAGACAGGATGAAACTAGCTGGGGAAAAATGACTTAGAATAAACAAATATTGCGTGACTTCTCTTGACACTGAAATTCGAATAAATGGATTAGCGAGTACGACATCAATGCCAGCTGGCTTAAATGGTCGGTGGAATTCCTCTGTCAGTGATACATTCAGGTCCCAGTCCACGGTCCGGAGACTTTCGCGTGTCGCGACCGAAATCCGAACGCAATAAGATGAACCAATACCGGCGCAAAATAATACATGACCCAATTTCTTTGTCAAATATCCACTTCTATGACCGTCCCGTTGCCTTAAAACTATTGATATGTCGTCATTCACATAAATGACAATCGGTGTTTTGCTGTTTGTCAAACTTATAAGGTCGGAGCATTAAACGAAACGTTCTTTGCTAATTCACCGTAAATGTGTACTAATGCTCGATAGTGCTAGTTCAGTCAGACAAGTTTCCGCTCATTAGCTGATCTTTCATCCTCTCTACATCACACACCTTGAGCGACCGAGCACATTGTGTTCGCTGTAGTTCGTCGTGTCTGTTATGTTTTCTCGT